GGCACCGGCCAAATGTCATTTACGGTATTAGTTAAGCCCTTAAACTGCATCTCATCTAAAAGTGGAGTCAACACTGAAACCAAGTTTTTTGTATTTTGTTTTGTGTGAGCACTAAGTCCTCGGAAGTCGTCGTTTTGTTAAACAGTAAATGAACTCATTTCTCGTTTTTTATGTTTAATTTTTTATTTTTTTAATTAACTTTTGAAATATTATATATTTCGCTGATTTTTGTTTGTTGAGTTCACTACAGACAATATTGTGTTAATTGAATGTATTTTTGTTTGTTGGGACGATAAATATATTTATATTATTGAGAGACGATTCGTACATTTAGAGGCATAACTAATACCAAATGAATTTTTGCAATAAACAAAAAAACTTTTCTTAAGATTATATCTTCTAAGATATCGCCATAAGATATGTAACGATTGGATACATTGAATGGATAACAAAACATCTCAACTCAAAACTCAACTGTCGATTCGCTTTTAAATTGATTCATATCTATAACAAAGAATTTGATTTAAAAAAGTTTATATTGGTTTTGTTTGATATATAAAAATGTGTGACAGTATATTGATAAACACATTCTTATAATTCACACTTTTGCTGTATTATAAGAAATCATTTTAATTTATATTAGAGTATCGATTCATTTGTGTTTTTTTAATCGAAATTCTGTCAGTTTCTCGGTTTTGATTAATTATTCATACGATTTATATATAAATATATATATAATATATTCAAATAAATCACAATTTGTTGCATTTGTTTAAACGCTTCGGAAAATAAATAAAAATTATTTAATTGATTGCTTTGTGTCAATATTTAATTAATTATATCTGGTATTGTAATAAGTGGTAATAAATTATTACAAATACTAATAATATATTAATAGCACAGTAATGAACTAAAGAATGTCAAATGGATTAAGTAGTAAATAAATATTTATCGCATAATTGTTACATAATATATCGGGGGTAATATAATCCATGGTTTTGTGATGTACAATTAATTAAGTGCTAACAAATGATTTGGCAAATGAATAAATAGTTAAAAATAAAAACTTAAACAAAGTCTTTCACTAATTTGTTTGCAAACGCGTGAGTGTTGGGATATACAATAAATTCATTTTTAAAGCCTTAGTACCAGAGTCTAGGAATAGACACAGAATCCCAATTAACACAATGGTTTACTTCCTATAATAAATATAAATATAGAGCACTTTATGATTAAATGCAAAACTTTACTATGATATATGCATAAAGTGTTTTACTATACTACAGTAAAAGTGTTTATATCATATACTGTATCATACTGTGCAGAATATCTTATTACAAGTATACAGAATAATTTATTTATATTAAAGGTTTTTAAAAAAATTAAATCACTGTTATAAAAACAAATTATTGATATGTAATTACTGTATTAATAAATATATTCCATAAGTTCAATGAACTAGACTTATCGGTGATTATTACATAAAACGATATCTATTTAAGAATTCCATGCAAAGTAGTGTACAGTACTAAGAAAAAATAACAAAATTTTTTTAAAACAAAGTAATGAATGTCTCAAAAAGAGACTTATCTTCAATTAGAAATATTTTAGCATTAAATATACTGTATATTTAGAGACACCACTAAATATGAATACATTTGTAGCATTAGATTACGTAAAGTCAGCAAAATATGCCGCATATTATCATTTTGATTGCTGTAAAAACATTACTAAATCACAACTCTATATACAGTATATTCTTGGCCCACATTCTCTCAATCTTTGCTTAAAATTCTAGTTTTTAAAGTAAATATTCTTTTCTTTTTATATTAAAAATAAAAATAAGATTTAAAAATTCATTTATCATTAATTAACAGGGAAGGCATTTCCAAACTGCACTTGAACTCTAATATTCTGTTTGTAAACCTGTTTATGAAGTTGTTATCAACTTTTAATTTGTAAACTCTTTAAAGTAATTATTCTTGAATATTAATATTAGTATTGTTCCGGTAAATAAAATCTACTGCAACTGTAATTACAAAATGTACTAAGAATTGAGTTTTAAACAAACAGATGGTCAGGAATTTCGTCAATTTCTACAAATTCTTTATCCAATGTATACACAAGTGCTTCAATGCTATCATAAATACTCTATTTATAAAAATTATGTTTCATTCGACATATTCGCGTAAAATTGCTAATCGATGAGATATGGTGCCAAGTGGTGGTAAAGTGGGTGATAATAATTAATAAGTGATTATTGAATTGAAAACAATTAACATAAGCTTTGGTTTATGTGCGGCGCGTCTCATATGATTGGACGCATTGTAAGCATTAGTTGTATGGTTTGGCGGTTAACTCACACAACACTCCACTCGCTCTCCCACTCTATGCCTATGTCTATGGCTTTAAGCCATCGACTCATGCATTCAATGCTAACTGAATATGCTTTCGATGTTTTCACCACTCATTCAAATGTTTTGTTTTCTTAACTATGATGACAGTCCACACCATTAGCTAACCATGTCTTCACTGCCACACCATTGGCCCCACCGATCGGGTAAGCGATGTCCAGTTGACCTGTGCTGACCCTCCCCTTATGGAGGGGTCATTCCTCAGCACCATTTCCCTGACACCAAGCAACTCATGTCTCGTGTGTTTCACAGTGAAGTGTCAAATATAACTAAATTTTGTGTCAATTTTATTTGCTTTTCATAAAAGGCTAGAAATGGTTCATTTGAATGACAAATGCATTTAATTCATGAAAATTATGTATTTATTTTTTTGTTGAGCTATTATTTCATTAGATGCTTATTTGCCTCAAGAAACGATTGCTTCAGAAATCTTATAATGATTTTGTTGTCAATTATGTTTCATTGCATCGCTTTTCAGTGCTATTTATAGTCCAGTCATTTGATACGTGTTTTCGGGTTTAACAGGATTTCAAATATATATTACAAATCAGTTGTTTGTTTGCAAATATACTGTATATATCTATTCATTGACAGATATAGTAAAGCAATGAATCTTTCATACAGTCATCGCTCGCATCAATACAAGTGAACACTTATTTGAAAACTATTTTTACTGAATTTATATTAAATTAGTTTTAACCGGAATTGTGGTATAAAAAAGTGTTTTTTTCTGGTAATCATGTGAAGATTGGTCTCTGGTATTGATTATAGTCTGGTCTCTCTCTCTCTCTCTCTCTCTCTCTCTCCACAGCTATTCCTATAGTCTAACAGTTAGTTGTGATGTATTGGTTGGGGAGTTGTCTCCGCATCCCATCTACTCATGTCAGGCACAGCAACAAAATCGATGCCCAGTTGTGTTCACAATAAGCAATACCTTAAGCTCTAAACAGTCTCTCAATAATGTCTTTCATTTCAATCCAATTGTATCTCAATATTCTTAACTTCATTTCCAACACTCTTTACACTTGTTTTGCCATTCATTTCATTGATGAACTCAACCCTCACTCTCATCACACACTCTATGCCTTTGCCGTCGACTCTTACACTCAATGTTTTGAATAATTCATTGCAAAACACAAACATTTATTATTCATTTCATTCACAATATTTGAAATTTAGATAATATATTGATTAGTTGTAAATGACATACACTTGTCATTATATGTTAGTATAACTCAATTATATAAACATTATTATGTAACCACTGTTACTATTATTCTACACAATAAATAGAATTTTATCAGAAGTTAGCTATTAAATTATTCAATTTAATTAAAGCATAGGTTACCATGAACATTGTTGATAAGTTTAGGAAATTAAAATTTTATTGCCAATAATGAATAAAACCATTTATGATCTTGAAAATTATCCTACGAGAGAGAGAGAGAGAGAGAGAGAGAGAGAGAGAGAGAATGCCCCAGTTCCTTTAGTTATACAAATGAGAATTTTAAAAACACATTTCGATTAGCTTTTTATTTATTTAAATGGCATTTTTAATTAAAAGTAAACAAGCAATGCAATCATTTAATAGTGAATAAATTACAAAAGATTTTTTTTTATCTGAAAAGAGATATTCATTAAAATTCAACGAAAATGTTTGCATATTTGATAAAACATATGAAGATATTATGTGTGCTTATCATAAAATAGTTGATTTAAAATATTTGCATACATTTAAACACATTTCACGTCTTATAGTCTATAAATCATATTTAATAGTCAAATATCAAACATGATTATTAAGCTTATTTGTGGTTAATATCAATTAATTGTAAAGTAACATAAATGTAAATAACATATATTTATGACTAATTTGCGATAAAAAAAATTGTTTCCTACTATAATGCTAATATTAAATCATATAAAACTAAATCAATAAAGTATTTCATTTCAGTTCAATTCAATTGAAGAGAGACTTTAAAAAAAGTTGTGAACAAATCTGTGGCGAGATATGCAGAGTCCGGGGCCTCCCTATCAGGGTATGTATGCTATCGTATGCGTAACGCAATGCCTTATGCTATGACTTTCGCAGTGCTTACAATGCATTGCCTGTTCAAGTGATGCGCCTTTGATTGACTCACTTTTAAAACACCTTTTGTTCACACTTTTGATTATTGCACTCAAACTGCTAATTGTATTGACGATCGCATTCACTGTACTATTCAGTGACCACTAAACCCGTGCAACCATTGCATCGCCTGTTGTTTGACTCGTGTTTCGCCGTATTTCTGACGGCAAACGCAAACTTAAGTCCGATTTTGTTGTTGAAAACAATGTGTGAAATACAGTACAGTATTACATAAGAGATAGACGTTTGCATTGAATGTTAAATGTTAATGTTACACTTATTTATATGATTTGTTTGAAAGCATTCACGCATTTGAAGGCCAATTCATTTGATATTAGTTTTTGGAGTTTTTCGCGAAAACCTATTATCACCTAAACTTTGATCCACCAATTGCTTGGAGTTTGTTCCCATATATACACACTTTTTTTGTGACCATAACTCTTAATTATCATACATTTTGGACTCGTTATTATCAATTGACCTGTGATTGTGACCCATGAATGGTTAGGGCCATCGGTGGTCAGCACTGATCTCTACGCCAATCGTAACTATGAGAACCACGTCCTCGTGAGTATACCATTGATTGAGCCATTGGTGACCGCAACTGATGATTGTTTTTGTCTGTTTGGTGACAGTCTTCGCACGGAGTGTCCGCCAGTTATCTAACATATCACTCGTCGGACGGATCGCACGAATCGCCCAATTATTGCGAACAAAGCCATTACAGCGCCGGTAGTGCAGCCCCTCCTCACGAGACACAGCCTTCCCCTCATCACAACTACAACTCCGCCGCCAATTCGGGCCACACTTATGGCCAACCCGTGAATCAGTTCAATGATATGTACACCTCTTGCAGTCCATATGCAGCTATACCGCCAGCAATACGACCGCCCATTCCGTCATCTACTCTGAAGTATTGGAATTCAGACCAAATGTCACACAATTCGCACAATTATACCACTAATCAGGGAATACCTCCGCCGCCGCTCGTGTCCCGTACGGCGCCGGCGCTCCGATCGCCCACCGATAGGACCGCCCACTGCACGACAGGCAACGCGTACACCGCGGGACCGCCCGTTCAGCACCGGTCGGCCTCGCAGTCGCCTCAAGACTGGTCGCGATCGCCGGGTGCGATGCGCTCTCCGAGTACCACACCATCGCCTCTGCCCTCGCACTCCGCACACAACAACAGGTCTCCGAGTCATCAGTTCTCGCCATCGCACTCGTCGCCATCGGTGGCCACCGACTCCTCATCGCAGCCCACACTTCACGCCAAGACTGACGCCGCGTTCAGTAATCACAACCACACCGCTAGTCAAGCGAATGCTTCCAATCCCTTGCAGTCGCTGCAGAAGATGGTGATGATTGACTCAGAGGGCCAAGACGTGCGCCACTCGTACGACAATATGGCCGCCACTCCTCTGCAGAGCAACGGATCCGTTCACAAGCATTATAACAGCGATCAGACGCTGAGCGCCGACCCCGACAGCCCATACCCTACTTATTACAACTTGGATCAGAACAGACTCTGTACGCCTCCCCGTCCCAGTCCTGCCGCAAACGCCAACCTATCCTATGATAACATTCCAAACGCCACCCCAAGTGGTGGACAGTTGTGTGGAAGTGATAAAGAGCTTAACAAATGTGACAAAAATGACAATAAGTGTAATAACGGTGCCGTTGAGAGCAACAGTAATAATGATCTCATTTTCGTCGGCGGAAGCGATTCCAAAGAGACGGTCCAACAGATGAGCGCCAAAGCCAACGATGCGCCCAATTCTGGCGGTTTAGTGAACGGCGAGAAAGTGGAGCTCAAGAAAGAGATCACTTTGGCTAAGAATGAGTGCTCAGTGATGGACGAACAGCCGGCGCTCTGTAAGCGCACCTCATCTCAGGAATCGCTGCAATCGTCGGACTCAGAGAAGGCTCACTCGACGTACGGCGAGAATCGAGCCCTTCATAACCACAACTGGCAAATGGAAAGCCATTACTACAACAACAACCACTCGGATAAGCCATGGACTCAATGGCCGCCGACCTCAGGACCACATTCTGTGCCACCGAATAGTGATTATATGCCGGGCGGCGGTCGACACGTTCTTCCCAATCCAAACACAGTTCCTGATTACTCGGCCTATCAGTCACCGATGGACAGCAAGCAGTGCGGGTCGGGATCGTGGAGTGCGTCCGCTTCGACGTCGCAGAGCTCTTCATCGCAACGTAACTTTGCGTCGCCGAAGCACATGAACGCCGGCGGCGGACAGAACTCAGGCCACAAGAAGCGCGGCCGACCTTTCGGTAGCAAAAATCGTAGGAATAGTGACGACACGAATAGTGAGACAAACGCTTCCGATTCGGCGAACTCGACGAAGAAGAAGAAGAAAGCGGTTTCGACCGAAATCGGTATCAATACGAGCGTCACTCTCGACGCCCACGGCTTCGACGAGTTGGCGGTCGTTAACCCATTGAAGCAGACGTCGAAACGCAAGAAAACTGTCGGCCCTTTCATTCGACTGGAAAAAGGGAAGGGAAAGGGGTCTACCGTTTACTCCATTGTGAACACTGCCGCCAAACCCGAGGACGAAAAGGACACTAAAAACAAATCTTTTGCGAATAAATTAGAACCGATTAAACCGTTGCGAAGGCCGTCACTGTTGGTGAGCTCCAAGAAAGTGATGTCCACTTTCTCGCCTCAGTATGACTACAACAACAGAGACAAGACGTGGGTCTGCGCTCTCTGTCATAGAGGCCCTCACTATAAAGGTTTGGGTGATCTGTACGGACCTTATTATATATCAAGCGATGACAAGAGTAAGCCTCAAACGACGACCAGTGCTCCGGCGGTCGCCTCCACATCTCAACCTCAGGCAAAGGGTTCGCGTTCTGATTCTGTCGATGAAGTGATTGATTTAGTGGTGGCTAACGATCCGCTGCCACCTATAGAGGAGCCCAAGAAGAGAGGCCGCAGAAGGAAGTCCGAGACAACTGAAGAGACCACGAGTTCCTCGTCCTCCAGAGGTCGGCCCAAGAATACGTCCAAAACAGTGAGTTCCTCGCAAAACAATGAGACAGAGGTTTGGGTCCACGAGGACTGTATCGTCTGGTCGAGTGGTGTCTATTTGATCGGACATAGGGTCAGACATCTCGAAGAAGTGATTAGTGAATCGAGTGAAAGCGTATGTATTATATCGTTGAACACATGTTGTTTAATATCAATTTTACTAAAACTTTTTTTTTTGTAATGAAACGTTTGAACGAATAGTTTTGTACGAAATGTAAGCTCTCGGGTGCGACGTTAGGATGTCTACAGAAAAGTTGTAATACCTCTCAATTTCATTACTTGTGCGCTAAAGAGAAAGGTAACCAATTTTGGCGTATAATTTAATAACAGTGTAATTATTTGTTGTTTTATTTAAATGTCTACTAAAAGGCTGTGAATTAGATGACGAAAACTTTTCACTCTTATGCCCCAAACATAAGGTTTGTGTTGATTACGAGTTTGTCTGTGTTTTTGACTGAGCTTTCAATTTGTATTTTTTATTTACAGAAAAAAGGAAAAACCAATTCAGACGAACCATCCGCTGCTTTGACTTAAGATTTTTTACAACCCTTATTATTATAACAAATAATTTGTAATAAATTAATGTTTTCTATTGTAATTTAAGACATATTTGTATATATTTTTAAGTGTTCCGTGTTTTTGTTTAATACGAAAAAAAGTGTAAAAACTTTCGACACTTCTGTGAAGACAAACGTAAAGACAATTCTCTACTTATTATTACTGATATCTCTTTAGCACATACTCTGTGCCAATACTTTCAATATCTAATGTATAAGTTTTGTCTACA